ATTGCAGTTCAGAGGAAAAAAAACAATTATTTTGTTTACAGGCTTTCACATCAAGATGAAAGAGGAAAAAATATTAACATCCTCTCCAAGGGGGAAATGATCATTGAAATAAACACGTTTCTGCCTTGCCAGTAAAGCAATTTTATATATTTGTTCTTATGTTTAGGTACTTTTCTCAGCTATGGCAGTGATAGGCACAACAGGCAGGTAGGAATGCAAACTCTTGAATTCAGAAGGACTGTCCCTGTATCTGAAGGCTGGCTTGGATAGGATGTCGTCTTTGTAGTTAAGTAGGAGGTTCATGAAGCACCTAGATGATAACTTTTTGGTGCAGGTGCTAACGGAGCCAACTAGGAAAGGTGCCCTCCTAGACCTGTTGCTAGAAAACAGAGAGGGTCTGGTGGAGATGTGGTGATTGGTGGCCGCCTCGGTCATAGCGACCATGAAGTGGTTGAGTTCAAAATTTACGGTGACAGAAGGAAAAGTGCCACCAAAACCTCATCCCTAGATATGGGAAGGCGGACTTCAGGCTGCTCGGGGAACTAGTCAGCAAGGTCCCTGGGAAGCTGCTCTTGAAGGCCTTGATGTCCACCAGTGCTGGTCACTCTTTAAGCGATGCCTCCTAGAAGCACAAGATCAGGCGATTCCTAAATATCGCAAGTCAGGCAGGCGGGGCAGGAGGCCGGCGTGGCTGACCAGGAACATTCTAATGGAGATTAGGCGGAAACAGAGAGTGTTTCGCTACTGGAAGGAGGGCCGGGTGACATGGAAAGAATACAGGGATGCTGCTCGTGTCTGTAGGAAGAAAATTCGTGTGGCTAAAGCACACCTAGAGTTGAAGCTGGCTGTGTCTGTGAGAGAAAATAAAAAGGGTTTTTTTAGATATGTGAATGGAAAAAGGAGAACTAAAGAATACATAGGGCCGCTCCTTGACAGGGAAGGTCTTCTCACAGACGATGACATAGGCAAAGCAGAGACGCTTAACGCCTTCTTTGCCTCTGTCTTCAATGCCGATGATGGGCTTCGGGACCCAGGGTGCCCCGAGCTGGAGGACCGGGACGGTGGGGATGACAAACTCCCGACCGACCCTGAACGTGTGCGGGATCTGCTACTCCACCTGGATCCCTACAAGTCCATGGGTCCGGATGGGATTCATCCCCGGGTGCTGAAGGAGCTGGCGGACGTCATCGCGGAACCTCTCTCAATTATTTTTCAACGATCCTGGGAGTCTGGAGAGGTCCCGGTAGACTGGAAGCTGGCAAATGTTGTGCCGATTTTCAAGAAGGGTCAGAAAGAAGACCCTAGCAATTACAGGCCTGTCAGTCTCACGTCAGTGCCTGGTAAAATCATGGAGAAGATGGTTCTCGAACGTATTGAGGCGCACCTGGGGGACAAAGCAGTCATTGGTCCCAGCCAGCATGGGTTTGTGAAGGGTAGGTCCTGCCTAACTAACCTGATTTCCTTTTATGATAAGATCACCCGTATGGTGGACCAAGGGAAACCAGCTGATGTGATTTTTTTGGACTTCAGCAAGGCTTTTGACACGGTTTCCCATAGGATCCTACTGGACAAAATGTCCAGCATACAGCTAATAAAAACATCATACGATGGGTGAGCAATTGGCTAACGGCAGGGCCCAAAGGGTTATGGTGAATGGGGCTGCGTCAGGCTGGCGGCGGTCACCAGTGGGTCCCTCAAGGCTCCATTTTAGGGCCGGTACTTTCAATATTTTTATAAACGATCTGGATGTAGGAATAGAAGGCATTTTGAGCAAGTTTGCTGATGACACCAAACTTGGAGGAGTTGTGGACTCGAATGAGGGTGGAAAGGCCTTGCAGAGGGATCTGGATAGGTTGGAGAGCTGGGCGATCGCCAACTGCATGAAGTTCAATAAGAGCAAGTGCCGGGTCCTGCACCTGGGACGGGGAAACCCTGGCTGCACGTACAGACTGGGCGATGAGACGCTGGAGAGCAGCCTAGAAGAGAGGGATCTGGGGTCGTGGTAGACAGCAAGTTGAATATGAGCCAGCAGTGTGCCCTGGCAGCCAGGAGGGCCAACCGTGTCCTGGGTGCATCAAGCACGGCATCGCTAGTAGGTCGAGGGAGGTGATTGTCCCGCTCTACTCTGCGCTGGTGCGGCCTCACCTCGAGTACTGTTGCAGTTCTGGGCACCACAGTATAAAAGGACATGAAACTGTTGGAGAGTGTCCAGAGGAGGGCTACGAAGATGGTGAAAGCCTGGAGGGGAAGACGTACGAGGAACGGCTGAGGGCACTGGGCCTGTTCAGCCTGAAGTGAATCACTGCATTTTTTAATGTTATGATGTGCTACATAATGCACATTGAGTTCCGGGGGGGGTTTAACCTGGCATGAGATAGCAGAGTGGATGTGCCAGCATGTGTCTACTCACAAATCCTTCATGGTGTCTTGCTTTGGCAAGCTAATGAGTCTGTGCTGAGATAGTGCCTTTCATTTTTAAGTGGATGGTCGTGCCTAGTTGTTGGTTAAATGATGTGGGAGAAGCCCTTAGTTTAAGAATTAATAGTTAAAAGATGAGGATTTTTATCTCCTCCCTTCTTTATGCATGAGGCTTTTTCAGTAATATTAATATTTTATTTCTGAACAGCCTTGATGCTAAATGATGCCAGACTTAGTGCTGGGCTCTAAGCGCGTGGCTCACAACAGCCCCATGAGGTGATACAGGCCTGGGGAAGAGTGGCTGGAAAGCTGCCTGGTGGAAAAGGACCTTGGGGTGCTGCTCGAGAGCTGGCTGAACACAAGCCAGCCGTGTGGCCAAGGGGGCCAACAGCAGAAACGGCGTGGCCAGCAGGACTAGTAGGGAAGAGGTCTTCATGATCGAAATCCACCAAGGGGATTGTCCCCTGTACGCAGCACTGGTGGGGCTGCATCTTGAATATGGTGTTCAGTGTGGTGCCCTGCACTTGCCCTGCAAGAAGGATATTGAATTGCTCGAGCATGTGCAGAGAAGAACAACAAAGCTGGGTGAAGGGACTGGAAAACAAGATGTATGAGGGGCGACCGAGGGAACTGGGGTCATTGAGTCTGGAGAAGAGGCTGCAGGGAGACCTCGTTACTCCCTGTAGCTGCCTGAAAGGAGGCTGCAGCAAGGAGGGTATTGCTCGCTTTTCTCAGGTAACAATTAATGCGATGCAAGGCAATGGCTTCAAGTTGTACCAGGGGAGGTCTAGATTGGATATCAGGAAGACCTTTGTCATGGCAAAGGTGGTTAAACATTGTGGAACAGGCTGCTCAGCTGGAGGAGTCCCCATCCCTGTAGGTATTTAAGAGATGCGTGAAAGTGGCCCTAAGGGACATGGTTTAGTGATGGTACATGGTAGGTCAGGTTGATGGTTGGATTTTGTGTTCTTGAAGGTCTTTCTTTCTCCAACCCAGATGACTCTGCAGTTCCCTGACGATTAAGTTGATGGATGGATGTGAGCTTTCAAACTCAACAGCATACAAGTACTTCATAGAGCCAACCTTTCAGGGAAGTTCGTAATGTGTTATAGAAACCAATGCAATCTTCCTATTTAAAAGAAAAAAGTAACCTACTTCTTTTTAGCAAACTGAGTGAAGGAAAGTGAAAGATGGAAGCTGCTTTCTCCTTCAGTATGGCCCAAGTTATGTTACTGGTCACTAGAAAACACCTTCCTGCACAGCCTCACTGAAACTGTAGACAAAGCTTTTCTTCTCAAGTATTATGAAATTTCCTTTGTTCTGGAACCCCTGAGACTTTTTTTTTTTTTTTTTTTTTTTTTTTTTGCTTCTGGGTTACCTTTAATTGCTTTCTGAAGTTTTGCTCAGGTACACAAGATATGTATGTTCAGGGACGGCTGGGTTACTTTGTGAAGAACACAGTTTGGCAAGCCAAGCGCACTGGTTTCATTAGTGATGTGAACAGTTGGTGGGTAAACTTGGAAGCATTTGCATGAACTTCTTGATGTCTTTGGCGCAAAAGACACTTGGATGTGAAATAGCCTGTTTTGTAGAAACAGAATGTCCTCTGTTGGTTTTTGTTTGTTGTTTATCCGTAACTTCTCTAATATTTCAAAAAGCCATAAAGGACTGACAGATTATAAGTTGCATGAAATATCAAAGTAATTATTTACACTTTCATGCTTCTTTGTGCAGACATAAAGTAATAAATACCCATAAAGTCTCAGAAGTGACACTTATACAGCAGGGGATTCACGGTTTTTTACGTGCTGGGATTTGTTTGTTTCTCTTCTTTTAACTTTATGCTAATACATGATATTCTTGTATTTGTTTTTAAGTAAACTCTATGAGCTTAAGCATGTTTATAAAGCAGCATCTGTTGAAAGCCAAACTTGTGGGATGCAGCAGCTTCTGTCTGGAGTTGGAGGAAAATAGCCTTTTCTTGCGGGGTCTTTGGTGTTCACTGAATTTTGGTGGTGCTCTTGGCTGTCCTTTTAGGTGACTCGTGGAGAGCATCTTCTAGTCTAAACTCTTTGGCTGTCCAAATCACTGCAGTGATGTGGCTTTCTTCCACTGTCTGTCCCAAATAACTGAGAGAATAGCTGCTTTGTCACTCCAGGCAGCTGCATTTCCAAACAGGATGGTTTGTTCCTTTGGGTCTGCATGCTGTGGAGAGGTGAGGTTACTTTGCAATCACAAAACCCATGGGTTTAAAGCCTGGAGTCCCTCCTGCTTCCAGATGAGATTCAAGCACCTGGTTTCTTAAAGTGTCCTAGGAAATTTTCTTGCTCTGTTAGAACAAATGTAGAGTGTCACGTATGGATCTTTTTCTCTTATTTTAATTCACCGTCCTAAATTACTCAAGGGTCAGTGACAGATGGGAAGAGGGATCAAATGCAGGATTACATGAATGCAGAACTCATGTGTGGGCGCTTGTGTAGGTTTTAAGTCTAGCAGTTCTGTCAGGACTGGTTGAACTGTGCCACAGTGCTTAAAGCATGATGTTTCAATCTAAGTGGTTGTAATTCACTGTCTTTAAACAGAGAGAACGTGAGCTTGAGGAAGGACATGTTGGAACGAGCTTGTCTGGAGAGACCGCCGGGAGGAAGGAGGCAGGTGAAAAGAGAGAGATGATAACCGCAGCTCTGAGAGACGCACTCACAAAGCAAGGTGAGGTTCTGTCAGCCTGGGCAGTAGTCCTGGCTTAGTGGTGGGCTGTTAACAGAGCAAGTGAAAGCCTGTTTTCTCTCAAAGATGCTGCTCTGGACTGTGAGTCCTGGTAGCCTTCTGGTAAGCTCTAACCAGAGGCAAGACAAATTAGGATAGGGCTGTCTGTATCTGTGTTCCACGGGGGAAGAATCTAAAGCTGTTTAATGCATCTCAGCATGATGCACAGTAAAGTACAGAGAGGGTAGCAGAGTTCTCAGGGTGTAACTTCTGCTAAGTCAGTTTGAGATAGAAGATAGGAGCGTGAGGCACATAGGACTAAGTATAGGCTTCTGTAAGAATATTTAAAGATCAGATTTGTTTCTGTCTTGCACTTTAGTTCCGTGCTTTTATTTCAGTTTCAAATGCCTCTGCTTTTTTGGCACTAAAACTTCATTTCCGATAAGGAAAGTCTTTCAAATGTCATCTGCTAGATGACTAGGTTAGTAGTTCTCCTATGAGTTGTAATGAACAGTGTTAATGAGCTAATAGAGGACAAGTCTTTTAAAACAGAGGGCAAGCATGAGAGGAGCCAAGCCAACAGCCCTGCAGTTCAAAACCCTCAGCTGTGAGTGGTAAAGCCCGGAGAAGGGAGATGTGAGCTGCCCTGTGCTGCTCTGTCACTGTGGTTAGAGACTAAAGGGAGCCTGTGTGATTTTTTTCAGGATGAGTGTACTCAGTTCTCTTGCCTGCTGAATCAATAGCCTTTCTCCTGATGTGTCGGAGAAGGTTCTTTGGTCACTGTAGTGGAGACACATTGCTGCAGAGCTGGGCTCTGAAGTTCTGACCACATTCTGTGTCAGTCCAGCAGCCATGGGATCACAACACGTTTGCTCCACAGGATCTCAGATATTCTTCAGCCTGAGTTTTTGTAGATGGCTGGTGTTGTGTTCTGCCTATCATGTCTGACTCGTTTGGTTGTTTTTTCTTTAACCTTAGTGCAGTTGTAAAACAGCTGTTCTTTCATTCAGCCTGCAGATTTAAAGAATCCAGCAAAAGCTTCTTTAAAATGATGCTTAGCATGAAGTAGCAGTGATTGTGCTTCATCCTCATGTCCACAGTGGCATTGCTGCTGGTTGGAGCCAGCGGAGGGCTGTAGGAGGCTGGTTCAATGCTTCTCAGCTTTGGTTCTGAAGGTTGTGATATGGTGGCAGTTGCAGAGCAGTTTGAGGAGTCTTACAGGCTTTTATTTGTACTTGTTTTGTTACTACTGTATGTGATCAGAAAGGCTAATCACTCTGCCCACACGGGTGTTGTGAGGATGGGTGAATTTGGCTGGCAGGGCTGGGGAGTGGTCTGCTGGAGACTTCTGGACTGCTTCTCACTTCCCTGCTTCTAGAGCTGGCCTGCAGGGAGCTGAGTGCGTGCTCTGCTATGAGTCCCCTATTTTGAAAGGGTTGGGGCCACTGCTTCCATGGGGTGCTCCAGGCATCTCAGCTCCTGCATGAGGCGGCAGGAGCCCTAGAAGGGATGTAGAAGTGGCCTGCAGTACTAACTTCTGGGGTCTGGGTGCATGGTTTTCAGCAACTGCCCTGCTTGGATGCTCTTCTTGGGGTGCAGTGCTCTGCCTTGGCTCTTCGTTAGGCCAGGGTGGTCACAGGGGTTGTCGTGGGAGCGCTTCATGCCCCGGCTCGCTATGACCCATTCGTTACTGGTTCCATTTTGGGGGATGAATGAAACGGTGGGGTATTAGTGCTGTATAAAAGTGGTAGTTTGAAAAATAATGTTGGAGGGAGGGTCACATTGCTGATGGATTTTTTTCTTTTTTTTGATGCAAAGGCCCAAATAACTGGGTTTTCCTTGTGGTGTTCCAGAGACAGGAATTCATTATTCAGATACTTTCTATTTTGAAAATATTTCTCTGTTCCTTTTGCATTCAGGGTAGTGCCAACAGTGGATCATCTGGTTGGGGGGTCTTCTCGCCTAAATCTGAAGTTTGAAAGGCTTAAAACTATTGTGCATGTAATTTCAGTTACGACTGCCTCTTGCTGATGCAACCCTCCCCTTCTTTCCTCTGCCTCTCACATAATTCTTTAGTGGATGCTTTTGGAAGAAAAATCTACCTTTCTCTTCTTGTGCTGTAGCTCTTTTCTGCAAATAATATGCCAGGACAAGCTTACGTGGCTATAAAAATAAAGCAATTTGCTCCTTCCCTCAGCACCATCCCCCCCCAAAAATAACAGTGCAGTGTTGTCAGAAGATCATCTAATTTGGCGACAACTGTTTGCTTTGGATATGGGTTCAGTGTCTCTTCAAGATTCTCCCTAAGGGCATAATTAGCCCAAGAGAAGGAAAAAACAGTAGTAGTGATTCAGAAGAAAGCTGTTCTTTTGAACTGTAGTTGCATAACAGAAATAACAGAAGTTTGCCTTTGAACAGCATCTCTTCAGACTACTGTAACACTTGGTCTTATTTTTTAATCACCTTCAGACAAATTTAGCTCCTTCCTGTACGTAAACTGCATATTGCTTAATAGTTTTATTTTAGCACTGGCAGTGAATTTCAGCTAAATATAATCTAAAATATTGAATTGTGTAGGTGTAAGCCCTTGTAGTTGTCTGGTTGCAAATACCTTTATAAAAGGTTCTCTGAAATAGCTGTTTCTTTGAAAGTCGTAGCTGGTCTTGTGCTGTGAGCAAACACTGATTCCCTTCCCATCGGTGTTCAGTCTTGCATAAAATACACATACAGCATGAACTACTTAGTACTTCCAAGTAACAAATATAGCTGGAGAGAGAGAGGGCTGACAGTATGTTAATGCTTTAGTTGCTTCATCTGTTTAGGTCGATGTCATGAAATTAACTGAAAATAGAAGCAAACTTTTCATGTGGATGTTTCCTGTGGTGATGAGTAGGCACAGCCCAACTTACTTTCTCATTTGTTTTCTATAGTTTCTTGTAGAGTCTTGAAACAATCCCGGCTGGGGCTGAAAGTTGAATTTATTTATTTTTTTTTAATCTGCTCATACTCTGTTTCCAACATGTTCTTTGCTTTGTCCTCTTCAACTGTATGTACTGCTGAACACGACTGTTTCTTGTAACTGTGCAGTAGGTAATAACACAACAGGAATGTATTAGTGTTACCCAAAGACAGACCCCATGGACATCTATTAAATTATTCTGTTGCTGCTTTGCTATTGCGAGTACAGTTTTGCTGCAGCCCAGTTGGATTATCCTGTTTCTACTGGTTAAATGTGCATAAAATTTAGCACCAGTGTGTCCATAATCTGTATTTCACTTGTATTGAAAGGCAAGTACTTATTCAGAGATGGCTGCTATCTGAAATAGTATGGGCTACTTCACTAACTTCTTTCTTTCATGCTCTGGCTTCCTGCTCGATGTAAAGATATGCTTTGATCTGTGTTTTTCAGCGTGCATTAGAAATCTGGAGGCTGACTTCAGAAGAATATTGAAAACCGAGCTTTTCAAGTGCTTATCAATCTTGTTTGAGATTAGGTTTTCAGAAGTAGTGAAGTTGTCGGTAGCTTTTACTGCCTGTTCTTGGACTGATTTTTTTCAGTGCCTGCTGCTCTGAGCTTCTGACGGTCTCTGCTTGGCTCGTTGTGCTGAGCTGTAGGTGCTCTGGCTTTGGGAATCAAATCCACTGCACAGAGAAGTTGCCCAGAGATTGGTGCTGCTGGATGTACACTTCTGCAGGCTGTGCACCGAAATGTTTGTGTATGTCTTTGGGTTTTGGTGTGATTTATGTATTGCTCTGAAACTCCAGGTGGCACTAACAGCTCACAGCTGGGTCGGGGATTAGTAACACTGGTGCAGTCTCTGAAATGTACCACAGAATTCAGTTATTGGCTACAGGAAAATTAAAAATTAGTTTTGAAAAACACAAAATTCTTCTGTGAATACCTGTGAGTAGAGTAAATGTAATGACTGAAACCAGGCAAAGTTAAGCCTGCTAGATTTTCTTGCTGTTCCTTAAAAATATCTGTGTAAATAAATGGGAAATACACAGTTAACGGGGAAGAATCCAGGAAGCAGAAGATGCTCAAGTCCAACAGCGTGGAAGCTGCCAAGAGCTGGTGGTGAGCTGACTGCAATACTAATGTGCTGGCGCAGATGTAGCAGCTTATCAGTAGCAGATTAGATAGCCAAAACTCAGCGTTGTGGGCCTGATTCTTCCCTTGTGTGCAGTTATTGGGGTTGGTGGTTACCCTATATAACAGAGGAAAATAAGTATAAATTCACTTGTATTTGAACATCACCCATTATTTTTAGGTTTTGGAAGGGCTTTGGAGAGTATTGGTCTTTTGAAATTAAGTCTATTAAGCTGGAACAAAGTACAAGATATATTTAGGCAAGGATAAAATTTGCTATCCTTTCTTCATAACACAGCACTTTCCGCAGGCAAGGGGTCACCATCTTTATACAAATGGACGTGTAGAGAAAGAAATGTGCTCAGAATGACTGAAAACTTCGTTAAAAGCCAGCACAATCTCTTCTCTAATAACGTTAGTTCTCTGTGTATTAGTTCGGGCTACTTAAGGAAAAGAGCTGTGCAGGCTGATTGCCTTCTTCCACTTAAACCTTTTGACCTGGCAGGACAGTTTCTGCTAAAGCTGACACTGACTTTTAAGTTCTTAAAGATATTGAGCACTTCTAAAATGTTTCAATTTTGAGAATTCAGTTCCTCCAATTCAGTTGAGAATTCAGACCTCCAAGCTATGCCCCATCGTGTTTGGTTGGCTGGTTGCTGCTGGTTGGCAAGGGTTTAGCTGTAGCCTGGGCATATTTGCTGCATCCTACCCAGTCATCAGGCCAGTCAAAATAGATAAAGGATGTGAGAGGAGCTGGAGTTATGAGGCAGGGGTATGGGAGGCACTGTGAGGACCTGAAGGTCTTCCACGGGAGGGTGGGTGGGTGAGAGGGCAGCCTGAGGTCCTGGCCGTGGAGCTGTTGCTCTGTGCTGAGCTGGGGCTGCTGGCTGGGGCAGTGCAGGGCATGTTTCTG